TCGTTAAACTTTTTTGTTGTAAAGAACTTTTATTTATTAATAAAAAAAAGGAAATAAATAAGTCAAATAAATCAAATACATGTTGTAGAAAATATTCTATGAAAAAAAATTGTTACACGAAATTTACTTAGTCTCAATTTCTTAAGTGTATAACAAAATTCGAAATTTTTTGTTTTGGTTTGGTATTTTGAAGTTGACCAATTGTTACTATAAGCAATTAATGATTATATCTAACAGCATCAAATAAATTGCTGATCTTTAAAATGTTAAGGAACAAAACCATATATAAAATTACAAAAATAACTCTATTTTTGCAATCTACACAAGCAATAGTGTAATAGAGTTTTATTAATAAATTTTACTTTGAAAAATTAAAATTTGGTCGCTTCCATTCTTTCTATAAAACCAAATAACGTGGCCTGCTATTTACTATATCCATGAAATATATAAAATTCCACTAGTATATATTAATATATGCAAGACCAGGCGGTTTGAGTATGTATTAAGATCCATTGGCTGATTGCGAAATCGACATACCCACGTGGTGTTGCACATCTTATACTTTTTAGTAGAGATTTCGAGCTTATTACCCAATAACATTTTTTACCTTTAGCTCTCGATTAGAAGTTTCCGGGTCCTATGCATATTATAATAATTAATATAAGTATTAATTTTTTAGTGATGATCCTGGTTGGGTTATGTGATTTCATGGGATGACGGTAAGTATTATTGCATTTTGAACATAGCTCTCCTATTTTTGAGATTTGAATTTTTTCTCAAATCTGGCACATGGCCAACATTTGATGTCTTTAGATGACGCAATATACACGTAAGTCAATGAGAATCAACTTTGAAATTTTGCGTTGGATAATTCTTTGTGGAGAAAAAATATCACGTGAAAACACGATATTTCAGTGTTATCACGTGAAATAATATTTTTCCCAGTACATTTTGGGCAAGAAATTTGCGCATACCACGAGCGCGCCCAACATACATATATTTCAAGGTAATAAAAAACGTTGTGAGACTAGCTAGATAACTTATCTTGCACTTAAGTTTTGAATGCAATTAAGATAATTTAATTAATCGATCCTTAACTTCGGACAATGTTTGATTATTTAATGAATTAATTAATAATAACATTTAAAAGATTGAAGATTCTTCTGTTCTATTTTTATAAATGCTCATATATAGTATATGCATTTGATAAGTTATGACAATATTTTTTATTTTCTCGTGAAATTAATTGTGTGTGTGTATATTATTAAATACATTATTATTATATAATTGTTGTTATTATGATTATAATATTACTATTGATTATTAAAAAGAAATTAATCATTAATTTTTTAAAAAAAAAAATCTAAAATAAATAAATAAAGTTTTTTTACCTCATTTATCATAATTTCATCACATCTTCTATTTATAAATATTTCAACAAGTGGTTTCCTTAACGATTTTTTTAGTGAAGTTTGTGATTTCTTCCTTTTACACGACGAGAAAAATACATCATTATTATTATTATCATAATATGGTTTTTTTATAGGATCGTGATTTTCTTTATTATTATCATCCTTAGGTTTTGAATATATTTTAATATTTTTCATGATTATTATTGTTATCGTTATTTTAGGCGTATTGTTATATTTGATGTGGAATACTTTATAAAATATTAGTAAAATTAGTAAAAACGCGTTTTTTCATTAATTAAAAAAAATTTTTAATTTTAATTTTGAAGATTTACCTAATAGTTGCTGCTGATAGTGTATATATTATATTATCTATATATTTAATATACATACATACATATATATATATATTATAAGAATTTATTTTATTCAAAGAGAAAATATTTATTTATTAAATGACGTGTGTTATCAAGCAGAGGTAGAAGACCAGGGTGGAAAAAAATGAAAAAATATACAGAAACTAACTGTCACCACACGCACATTTATTTATATAAATATGTACGCGCGTTGAATATAAAAAGATAGATTGTACAACTAAAAGTGGAATTTTTTTTTGGAAGAAAAGTATAAATTATTTAATTTTAAACGCGAATCTTACGCGATCGCATAATTTTAACAATTACAAAAAGTATCTTTGTTGTCAATGCCATGTGATGTGTTAAATGATGATCAACCAAACATGTGTATAAATAGAATACAAATTACTTGTTTTGAAAAAAATTTTTATTTCCTAATCCAACGACTACTTCAACTCTTACTGTAAATATAACAGCAGAAAATGCAGAAACTGCACTCTTAACAACACAAATTCAGGTAGAGCTAGAACAAGAAGAACAACAACAGTTTATACAACAAAAAAAATGATTAATAATAATTTTTTTCTTAAAGATTACAGCGGAGCATCATCAAATATTAATGGTCTAAATAATGTGCCTTATTACTCTCTACTACAATTACTGATAATTACTGATACAGTAAACAAAGATAATTTTTCTATTCGATTCAACTCGTAAAATGATGCGTTTTTTCAACAAATAAACATCATCATCATCGTCATGGCATTATGATTATAATTATATAAATTTTAGTTTAAGAAGTTTGTATCTATTGAATTAATTTATGGATTTTTTTTATTGTTTAGCTTGCACGATGTCATTTTCAACGTAGCATTAATCTGAAAGGACTATCTACCTATCTACAGTATATACATATTATTTAGGTTTCTGATCTTTGCCTTTGTGCTACTTTAATATTAATGTGTTGGAAAAGTGGTTTGCAGAAAGTGTTGTTACTATTACAAGTTCAATGGAAACACGCCATTGCTGTTAGTGGCGATATGGTCATATAGAAAGTAAAGAAAAATCCATCAAGGCTAAGAATGAATTAATATTATAATATTACTCAATTTATCAATTCCTGATTCTAAAACTCTCAAGAACATCATCATATTAACATTATTGTTTAGTCATTTCAATTAATTTCACAATTAGCCATAAATAAGTAGAAAAAAAAAATTTAAATATATACTAGTTATGCGAGTGGATCAAGATTTGAGCATTTAATTCTTTAATTATGAAAAGGCTTGCATGTTCGAATGAATGATGAATTTCTTTATATAGTAATTCTGTTTCTCATTATTATATAAAAGTCTATTTTTAGTATTAGAATTTAATAACTCGAATAATATTATAATATTTTTGTTTGCCCATTTTAAGACTTTAAATCCATGTTTTATGCAATCATTTTTTTTTGACATTACCAAATTGGTACTTTACGCGTAACAATAAAAGTTTTAACCAAGATCCCCATAGAATTTTATATGAATTTGTAAACTTTTTTTTTCGCGTTAAAAATCACTCATATATAAAATTTTTAGTTTTCAAACAAGAAAAACAAAATAATTAATTCTTTACTTTAGTGACTACAAATTTGGTGACTTTATAAACATGACTGCGAAACAAACTGTAAGGAGAAAATTCTTTATTAAAGAGAACACTTGACATTTATACATTTACATTAAAAATGAAAATGAGTTGGAATTTTCAGATAATGTTTATAATTATAAAATGTGTAAACATTCAAAAAAATTGATTTTTTTAATATTAAAAGCATGTTAAAAAAATGGTTTAAATTAATAAATATAGCCCGAGTTTACGTTGAGACTTCGAGCTTCCACTTTATCACGTAGAGCAAGAGAAGCCGCTGATTACTCGGAAAAGTCCAATAATAAAATCAAAAAAACAATTGACGAAACTACCAAAAAATCTAAACCAGAAAGAACGACTAATCCCAAAAGTTCAACTCTCACCTCCTCTCCCACCTTAAAAAGAACCAGAAGAGGTAAAATGTGTAGTAATGCTGATAGTGATGATGACGGTGATGACGGTGATGACGAAGATCCTTCTACTACAACAGACACTACAACTAATGTATCTAATAAGGGTAAAAGCAAGGTGAAAACAAAACCATCAAACAAAGGAAAATCAAGATCAAGTAGTAGTAGTAATAATAAGGGAAAGGCAAAATCAGATTATGAATCTGAACAAACAATGAATAATGAATCTAGTAAGGAAAATAAAAAAAAATCCAAGGCATCTAAATCTAAAAAGAGAAAGAAGGTAGAGGAAGAAAAAGTATGAAATTTGGTTCTTTTAATATTGTTAAATTGATTTAAAAATATTGACACGTTGATCTATTACCTGTCATTCTTTACATTTAGGAGGTAAAATTAGAGCCGTATGATCCAATTCTTGTAAAAGAGCTTGCAAATGAATTTCCCGATCGGTACTGGGAATTTAATGCTGAAAGTGGCTATGGAATGGTCAATTATATTAACGAGCAATATCCGCTCGAATTAATTAAAGCAGGTGTACAAGATCAAGGTAATAAAAGTTGTTGATTTATTTCTACTTTTTTTTTTTTATTTAGAAAAGATGAATAATTATATTACTATTGTTAATTTTATTTAAAGGTCCAATTACTGGAATGATCCTTTCACCTGATGGCACAATGCTTGCCACATTTTGTAATATTGGTTGTGTGAGAATATGGGATGTAAATGATTTTCAAATGCTCCAAAAATTAATAGATACAGAGGTATAAATAACTTTTACAGGTTTAATTTTCTGCGTCTGATTTAAATAGAAATCATTATTTGATCATTACTTTCTTCCTAAAAACTTTATACATTTATATTCAGGAAAAGCAAATTGATGAATATTATGTTGGAAGATTTATTCCAAGTCAAACACATATTGTTGTTGGAGGAAAAGTGAAAGATCGTCACAAGTGGTCACCCGCTGACGAAGATAATCATATTTTACCTTGTCCTTTAAAGGTTAGCTTTATTTAATCATATATAATGATTTATTTTAATTGGATATTTACAATTTAATAAAATTTTATAAAATTTTACAAGATATTTGATGTAATCACAGGAAAATGTATTGGCAAACTTGAAGGTCATGCCGAAGAAATATTGTGTATTAAAACTCTTATGTTCAATGGAGAACCTTATTATATAACCAGTAGTCAAGATGGCTATATTATCAAATGGAAAATGGAAGATGACTGGATGTAAGTGTTAGTTTTTTCTTAATTAAAGTTTAAATATATATACATATTAATCTTTTTGAACATATAAGCACTCTCATTGATAAAAAACATATGGCGGATGGGATTACTTGTATGGCCTTTACTGTTTCATTTGTTCCTAACACTGGAAATAAATATTTCTTGGCTGCTACAGATGACACTGTTAGATTATATGATTTTGAAGCAGCTCAGGTAATTAATTGATTGATTAAAATTAAAATGTATAAAATTATTATATTATTTGTCTAAAATCAAAATACTTGGGTGTTTGGATTTATTTGTTCAGTGCGTGCAATCTTTTGATAGTATGTATACTCAGTACTGTGACTGTGGAAAATTTATTAATCCCGTTGAACCTATGGAAGAAAAAGTAGATGATGATGTAATACTGGTGGAGTCTAGTAAAAAGGCTAAAAAAAGATCACTGCCACCTCAAACTGCCTATTATGTGACTCGTGGTGTTGAATTGTTAGATCTTAATGGTTCTCTAATAGGTAGTTGGAAACTTCTTTGTTTATCAATCACAAAAAAAATATACATTTTTTTAATTTTATTTTGTTGTTATTTAAGCATCACGACAGAATGTTTGTAAATTATTTAAGTTGATATATCCAACCAAAAAAGGTGGTAAATTTGAATTAAAAGAAGTAAGAGAATACCAACATAAAAAGTGGGTTTTAATTGTTAATTGTTTTTTTTTTGTTACTTTTGTTAGTAAAAATAATAATATATAAGTTTATATTTATTTATATATATATATTTGACAAATGATTTTATAGTTATAAATCTAATTCTTGGCTTGTAAAAATTTCATCAAATGGTCGTTATGTTGCTGCACCTACTATGAATGGAGAGGTGTATATATTCAATTTAAGAACTGGTAAAGTTTCCGGAATACTGCAAGATCATGAAAGTATGATGATTTTTATTTATTTTATAATTTATTTATTAATATTATGTAGATATATATAACTTATGATAACTTGATAATTTCTTATTCTTATTCTTATATGTATACTATCTTTATTATTTACTTTATTAAAGGGTATGAAATTAGAGATGTTTTATTTCATCCTTGGAAACCTTTGTTATTTACATGTGGTGATGGCAAGTTTTTTTTTATATATTTTTTTTTAATTGATATTTAATAATTAAAATTTTGTTCATTTGTTAATATTATTTTCTGTTATAGATGGATATGTAAAAATATATACTTATAAAAATAGACAAGAATATTCACAAAATTCAGAAGTTAATTCCAATAATATTAATAATTAACATTAAAATGAGAATGAATAAAAAGTTTGTTCTCAATTTATTATTAAAATTTTGATGATCTTGACCCAGAGAAATAAAAAAAGGAAATAAATGTTACTTTGATTGCATAAAAATCATAGTTCGTTCTTATATATGTATTTGTATATTAGTAAAAAATATAAAAGGGAAAAAACTCTTTTCTGTCTTGGGGAACACCGTAGTATTGCACACATTTAATTCTACACTATTCCTCTGTTGATATAATGGATCCTGGTAAAAAGGAAATTTTTATTTTTAAAAAAATCTAAATTAAATTAATTAAATAATAATATTTTTAATACAAAAATTTTAACCGACATTTCTCATGTGAATTAATTTTGTTGATACAATAAGCCTTGAATCTTGTTGGTTGGGAGATCAATTTTCATTATTTTCTTCATTGTAGAAAATGGTTTATGTGAACGATCAATTACAAAGACTAATAACTTCGTTTCTTTAATTATAGAGAAAAATTCAATAAAATGATTTTAATCATAACTATTGTTTTAAATAAAAAAAAAAGTGTGCTTACTGTAAATATGATGCATATGGTTCCAAGACTCTTTAGCTAGTTTTCCTAACCGTATTCTATCTTCATTAACATGTTGGATAAGCTGTGGTCCTCGTGCTTCAACATAAAAAAATTCAAAATGATATTTTTCTTTTGTCTCCCACATGTACCATAGATAATCAGGGTACCTAATTGGGCCCTGTTGGCTATTTCTATTTTTTGTTGCTTGTGATTTTTAAAATAGAAAAAAAAAATTATTTTGTTGTCTCATTATTCTAAATAATCTTTTCCTTTCACATTTATATTATAGAACAAAAAATTTAAAACCGGTGTAATCCATGAATTTTCATTGATATCGATTTTATTGTCAATGTAATTTGGTGTGAGTTTGAAATTCTTTTGCTGGAGTTATATGAGTATTTAATAAAGTTTTATTCATACTAAAACTTATAAATGATCAAAGCAAAATAAAAAAAAAGAAAGACAAAACATACATAAATATCAATAATGATTGTAAATGATGATAGTAGTTTGTATCTGATATATTGGAAGGTATTGGTATAAATGTTTCATTATCAAGATAATTTTCTATAAAAGATCATTCTGTGCTTTCTATAGCCTTTTTCCCGGTTTAACTTCTACAATCAATTTGTCTGTTCTCAAAAAATTATAAATATTTCTTTGATTCTTCCAGATATCTTTATAATATATGATTCCACTTGAAAGGAAATGGCCACTTGATAAGGTTATTGTATCGATTGAATTGTTGATGATATGAACTACCCGATCAACTTCAAACATATAAAGCTTATTTAATTAAATAGTAATAAATATTAATCAGGATTAATAAAAAATAGTGCTTTTGTTAAGTATTTTATGTTTGATTACATTTAAAATAGCTGTTTGAATTTTCCTGAGGTCTGTAACTGAAATTGATGGTTTGGTAATATATTCCCTATCACAGAATTTTTCAAACATTCTCAATGCTTACTCGACTGATGAATTCTCTCTTCCCTTTTGCTTTTCCTTTTGTTTATTAGTTGTTTAGAATTGAAAAAAAAAAAAAATTTAGTTAATTAAAGAATGAACATTACATAAATTTATATAATTTTTATTTGAACTATATATATATATATATATATATATATATATATGAAGTTTTTTTTATAACAAGTTGTAATGCATCATAATCATCGCAACCATTCTTTTTAAATAACTAAAGTGACGAGTGGTGGCAATAACCACTACCACCATTCTTACGATAAACAACACTTATTCATTTCTTTCTTTCTCGACCAATTCATCTACTTTTTTTCTTGTTTTTTTTGACGTTACAACGCGTCTAATTATTTATGGGACCCTTGTTTTTTTTTTGTTGACGCGATCGATTTTTTTTTTTGGAAAAACAATTTATTTTTTGACAGATGACAAAACACAAGTGTTGTTATTCAATATGGTTTGGTTCTAAGATGTGTTAATAACTAACCAAAGGTAACTTTTTTTTAATTTGCATTGATATGTCTTTTAAATCAAAACGCGGAGCAGATCTTGCCGGGTAATTATAAGATTCTCATCAAGATGTAAACAATTAGTATTTTGCTTTTCGTAATCAATGTTAATAATAACATTAATATTACGATAATTACAAGATGCCAAGGCAGCACACCTGACTTTCAGAAGAAACATTTGATATGAACATTTGATTACCAGGAATTTACAGACGTTGAAGCACGCACAATTAATAATTTTTTTTTGATACAGATAATGTTATACATGGTAACAAGAAGTTACTATTAAAGTATTAAAGTGTGAGTTTGTTGGTAAGCTGTTTGAAAATGGCATCTGCAATGGAACAATAGGTGTGATCACCAAAGTTATAGATGATGATAATGTAGAAATTACTTTTCCAACTAATTATTAAAATGAATGTTCAAAAAATCACTATAAATTTTGAAATAAATGGTACACGTGCCTCGAAGTGCCAATTCCCATTGCAGAATGCATTTGCCAAGACCCAAGACATGACATTGCCACATGTGACTTTAATGATTGATGAAAATATGTGGCAATGAGCAGGGCTCCTTCTTGGGACCAGTTGGATGATATCCTTTCATTTGATTTTGATTGCCTGAAGGTGATTAAAGATGTTGTGACTGAATACAGAAGATTAAATCTTTTACACTCTAAAAAATATTGTTAATTAATATTAAAATGAATTAATTGATTAAAAAAAATTTTTTTTTTGATGTAACTCGTGCTCACTTTGCATCCAAAATTTTAATCTTATTATATAATTATGACAAAAACATTTCATCAGGTATCATTTAATCATGACATCATCAATGACACATTTTTGACATTTAACTTT